GTGATTTTGTAATATGTTGTTCATAAATACTTGGGGACAAAAAGATGAAAGCGAAAATGGACCAGCTGGTGTGTTGACTCTGAAAGCAGCTGAGATTACAGAGAGATTTCAGTTTAAGCACCCACCACTCCACTGCCACGTGCTTCTTTTGTCGAGAAAGAGAGAGAGAGAGAGAGAGAGAGAGAGAGAGAGAGAGAGAGAGAGNGAGAGAGAGAGAGAGAGAGAGAGAGAGAGAGAGAGAGAGAGAGAGAGAGAGAGGTGTCCAAAAATGTAACAGCATTGTGGAATTTTTTTTATTTTTTTTATCTATTTTATATTGTATGCAGTTGAAATTATTGAAAACAAAACATTAACTCTAGTTATTATGCAAAGCTGCAATCTGCATCTGCAATAGTTTTTGATAAATGATCTGCCATTCATTCATTCGTTCGTTCATTCATTCGTTCGTTTGTTAGCCATTTGTTGTCCTGATTACATGTAAATAAAAATGCAGAAAGATTCAGGATAGTTATAAATTTGGTATGGTTTTGTAGCAAACTGATTCATCTGAAAAATGGCATGCAACATTAACATTGCAAGGTCAGAAAAAGACTATTTTTATAGCTGGGATTTAAAAAATTCTGTTCATCCAATGCATGTTTATCCAAAATATTAAGATTTGTATTACATGTCCTTGCCCCAAACACCTTAGCTGACTTTTTTATGCGGAGGAGCATTGGCTTCTCTACACTTATTTTGCAGCAATCCTATGCACAATGTCTCAGAGAAACAGTTATAAGCACTCGCCAGGTCCACAAAACACATGAACTGGACAGTCAAATTCCCACAACCCCCTTAGCTATTCTGCTAAGGTGAAGATCTGGTCCATTGTCCCATGACTCAAACAAAATCTACACAAGTCTTCTCTAATCTGTAGCTCAACATTCAGTCAGAGCCAGCCTTCCAACAACCTGGGGCAAACGTTCCTTCGGAGGCTGAGAAGTGTGATCCCCGAGAGTTGGAACAGACTCATCTGTCTCCCTTTTTGAAAAATTGGAACCAGCAGCCAAGGTGTTGATGTAATCCGTTTTGATGACCTTAGGATTGCATCTCTGCTTTTTGAGGATGATGTGGTTCTATTGGCCTCATCAGATCGTGATCTCCAGATCTCACTGGAGCAGTTCGCAGCCGAGTGTGGAGTGGACGGGATGAGGATCAGTAACTCAAAATCCGAGAGCATGGTCTTGAGCCAGAAAAGGGTAGGGTGCCTTCTCTGGGTCGCAGAAGAAGTTCTGCCCCAAGTGAAGGAGTTCTCGGGTCTTGTTCTCGAATAAGAGAAGAATGGAGTGGGAGATCGATAGACGGATTGGTGCCGTGTCTGTGGTGATGCGGGCGCTGTACCGATCCATCGTGGTGAAGCGGGAGCTGAGCCAAAACGCAAAGCTCTCGATTTACTGGTCAGTCTATGTTCCTGCCCTCATCTTTGGTCATGAGCTTTGTGTAGTGACCGAAAGAACAAGATCACAGATACAAGCGTCTGAAATTAGTTTCCTTCGCAGGGTGTCTGGGCTCTCCCTTAGAGATAGGGTGAGAAGCTCAATCATCTGGAGCTAAGAGTAGACCCACTGCTCCTCCACGGTGAGAGGAAACAATTGAGGTGGCTCGGGCATCTGGTTAGGATGCCYCCTGGATGCCTCCCTGGTGAGGTTTTCCGAGCACGTCCCACTGGGAGGAGGCCCAAAGGAAGACCCAGGACACGCTGGAGGCACTATGTTTCTCGGCTGGCCTGGGAACTCCTCGGGAGTCCCCCAGAAGAGCTGGCCCAAGTGCCTGTAGAGCTGCTGCCCCCGCGACCCGACCCCGGAAAAGTGGAAGGAAATGGTTGGACGGATGGAATCAGATGTTGACAGTCCTCTCTGCACCATTAAACATAAATGGCAGCCTTAACACATCTAGAGCCCTTAGCATCTCAGGGCAAATTTCACCCAGTCATGATGACACCTTCCCAGCAGAGATTGTTTAACTACCTCTGTGATCTCTGCCAAGGTATATTTTCTTTGCTTAGCCTTCAGAGGAGACAGACGCTTTTGTGCTTTCTCCTGAACCAACCCCTCCTACCCTGCTTTGCAGCTTTTTCAAGTATTTTTTCTACCTACCATTTGAAACAAAAAGGAATTATGGATTTGGTCAACTGGTCTCTGAATGCAATTGACACTATTTTTTTCCACATTAAGACTGGCACAAGGGGAACAAAGCTATCCGAGTGGAACGGTTGCTGCTGGTTGTATCAGTGGTTGCTGGGGGGCTTGGAACCTCATGTGTCTCGCACCACTTTCCATTGAAGACGTGGAAGATTTGTATATATTTAGATTTATGATAACTGGATTTCTGCTGCGTAGCGGAGGCGGATTTCTGATTTATCGAAAAGTGAAAGCGATCCTGTCAGTGGTCTGGGCCACTGAGAAGCTGTCGGGTGCAGTGGATGGAATCTGCCATTCTGGGGGTGCACAGACTCAGATGCTGGGGGAGATAAGTCGCAAACTGGATGTGATTCTGACAAGAACTGCAGATCAGCAGCATGCATTTGGCATGTAGGATCACATCTAGGTGAAAGCTTCAGACGGTGAAATGTGAGAAGGTCACCAAATTTGGAAGATTGGATTTTTTCACCATTTTCAGAGATGCAGTAAGACTGAAAAACAGCAAGAAATTCAAGGCTGCTTGTCCCAAAACACTTGTGTTATCTATTTAGCTCCCAGCTGCTTGGCCTCAACTGCCAAACTATCTAAACTCCCCAGGATGATATGTGAACAAGGGTTCCCTCATTCATTCCCTTCCCTCCCCACATTTCCAGCATGGAGAACCAACCTCAGTGTCACCAGCTCCTCTGAATCCCGCCCCATCTCATGTGTTCTGACCCAACCCACCCCATGCCCCCAGCTGTCTGCTCTGTCGTGAGTGTTTTTTTGTGCATATGACTCTGTGTTTATGATGTAAACATAGGATCAGAGCAGTTTTTAACTCATCTCTCCTATTGTGTATTTCCAAGCTGCAAAAAGGTAGTGCGACCCTGTATCGCATGACCTTTTCACCTGTACCCCCGTGTTTTTGTCATGTGTGTTCTTCTTGAATGGGTGATCTTAACTGTATTTCGTTCTACATTGCATCCCTGATGTTATGTTTGAATGACAATAAAGCAAATCTGCATCTCTGAATCTGAATAATGTAGGGATGAAAGAAAGATTTGCCAGAACGTTCTTTATTCCAGCCAAACATCCTTATTCATCGCCTTTCCAAATACCTCCCACAGTCTTTCTGGTCACTCTGTACCTTTCTGCTCCTTCAGGTGCCCCATGTGATGTCTAACACATACAGGCCTTCTTCAGATTATTCACTGTGAATGTTGTTGTTAGCCAAAAGGTCTTTTGGTTGCTGCCATAACTGGCACAAATGTTCTTCTGGTCAAAGCTCCTAGAAGTGGAATCTGCTAGAGACCTTGAACAAGATGAATATCTCTCAGGCCGGGGTCTCTGCCAGACATTTCTGTTTCACCCATAATTTTCATATATCAGGTTTTTTCAGCAATCTCTCTTACCACCATAACTAACTGATCCCTCAGTGGTGATCAATTGATCTTTACTCCACTCTTCACCTGAGTGTCTAAGACATAGGGCTGCAGGTCGGATTACAAAACAAATCATCAACCTTTGGAACTCATGAGTTTGTACCAATTATACTTACAGATAACCGCACAATGCTCAAACATGGCGATGTCCCATAACAAAACATCATTCAGGTTCAGGTTAAAGAGGCTGTTTCTCTAAATCAGTTGCCTTCAATTGATTTTGCCATTGCACACATGGGCAATAGAGTAATGGAATTCCCAGATGAAACCCTTCATGCATACCATTCAGTGACTCCAAGAAGACCAAACAATCTGAACTGCCACTTTGTTCATAAACACAAACAATAGTAAGCACATTCCATTTTGTAGTTCTAAGCCACAGAGAGATAACCCTCTTGTTTACTAGTAAAAACTCAAACACTGGGGTCTTATGAGGATACCCATGAATGCATTTCATTGGTATCCATGGGGCGGCTGTGGCAGAGTGGAAAGAGGAGCCGTCCTGGAACCGGAAGGTCACGGGCTCGACCCCCATCCCAGCTGTCTCAGCTGTTGTGTCCTTGGGCAAGATACTTCACCCTTAATATGTCTGATGTGTGTCCCATCAGTGTCTGAATGTGATTGGCACTGATTAGTCTCCGTAGTTGACTGTACATGTTAGCTTTGTAGGAGATCTAGTAGAGTGCTGTGTGAATGGGTAAATGAGGGCACACATTGTAGTGTGAAGCGCTTTGAGTGTTCTGGTTGGGTAGAAAGGCACTACAAGTATAGTCCATTTACCATTTCCCCCCCTGGGAACCTACTCAGTAGGAGATAACTTAATTCTAGGACTTGGGTGTCAGAACCTAAGGTGTGGAATTAGGTAAGTCAAGATTTTTTATAACAGGTAAAATTCAACCTTAGTCATGTTCATAGTATGATGCTCTACGTACCTAAAATCAGTTTATGATACCAGAAATCAGCAAATCCAGATCCATGAAAACAGACTAAATAGAAATATATTGTTGTCAGTTAAGTTCAAGTAAAAAAATCATGTTATCTTGAGTGTAAATAACATGGAAAATTGTAAAGGAACGCATCAAGTATTTATGAAGAGTAATTAAATCTATACTGATAACCACATCAAATCCGTAAGATGAGCTCTTTTTCATCAATTGTGTCCAGTAGAGGAATTTCAGCCCAAATGATGTTTGAAAGTATTTAAAAATCAAGTAAAAACATAATAATGCGAAATAAGTTTGTTTGTGTTTTATTTGTGGCAGTGGTAACCTAAGATATTGTTGGTACACATTATCTCATTAGCAGCTCAGATTCTTATCTTAGGACATTTGCGTGCCAATGAAACATCTTGTTCAGTTCAACTAGCCTATGTGAATTCTCTTTCCTCTTCTTTTAGCTGAAGAATAAGTTCATGAAGAAGATTCCTCGTGATGCTGAGGCTTCCAATGTTATGATTGGTGAGGTGGATTTTCTGGACAAACCATTTGTCTCTTTTGTTCGTCTGGCTCAAGCCACAACACTGGGAGGCCTCACTGAGGTACCAGTCCCCACCAGGTAGACATCCCACCTGCCTCCATCTCTTCATCTTTCTAAAGTATCTTTCTTGATTTATGAGCCTTTTACAATCTCCTTTGACAGGTTTCTCTTCATTTTACTGGGTCCTCAAGGCAAAACCAAATCCTACAATGAAATTGGAAGAGCAATTGCTACTCTCATGGTAGATGATGTAAGGAACTTTGTGACACCATCTCCTCTTGCCAGATATTCCTTGTAGATATATAAAATTCATTAACTTTATATTATTTGGGGTATTTTTTTCAGCTCTTTAGTGACGTTGCCTACAAAGCGAGGGATCGTGATGACTTAATTGCAGGTGTGGATGAGTTTCTGGATGAGGTGATTGTTCTTCCTCCAGGGGAATGGGATCCTAAAATTCGCATTGAACCTCCCAAAAAAGTTCCATCAGCAGAAATGAGGCATGTGAACAAGTTTTGTTGGTGTCATCACATTTTTTTAATGTTGCATTTTACTTACTTTACCTTCAGCTGTGATTTAGGGGAATTGTTGAGTTGTGATATCTCCCCTGAATCAGTTAATTGACTTAAACATGGAGGCTGGTTGTTAAAAGGTTTGCATGTTAGAAGTCAGATGTTCCATCTTAGTCTGGAGCTCAACAGGAGCCAGTGCAGAGGAGCTTAAATGAGAGAAATGTGATATTTCCTTTTATATACTATTACTATTGAAAGAGGCTGAGGAATAACTGAACATCTGGCACAGAAAACATTATTGGCAGCACAACAACTTAGTGTATTTAGTGCAATGTTGCCTCACAGCAATCAGACCTTGGGTTCAATCTTTGGTTTGAATCTGTGTCAAGTTTTCATGTTCTCCTTGTGTTTGCAATAGTTTTCCCCTGGCCCTCAGGTTTCTTCCCACAGTCCAAAACCCATGCATGTCTAGGCTGCATTCAGGCCCCGCTTACCTTTGAAAAAGAGATCTGTGATCTTGATTTATCTGGTTAAATAATAGTTGAATAAAATACAAACATTGGAAGAAAAAACAACAGATCAAAATTTACATTTCTATGCTAAGTTAAAGACAAATGAAGTTGGTATAGTAAACCAATACCAGAAAAAATGTGTTGAAAAATCTAAAGTGTTTTAAGCACAGTGCGACAGTAGAAAACAACTGTATCAAAAGTTTTTAAAATTCTTTCAAGAAATCCAAGGTTGATCAGGTCTCAGTTTGTGTCCCATAATCAAAAGAAAGCTTTGGTTATGCGCTGATCATGAATTTTACTTTATTTTGTTTTATTTATTTATTTATTTATTTTTAGTTTTATTTTTGTCAGAGTGTGACTGTTCTTTTCTCTCAGTGATCAACAATATACAGCAACCGAGTTCGTAGTATGTTTCATACTTTTGCCTGAACTAAGACATAGGGATTTTCAGAAGAAGAATAAGCAAGTGTGTCATGTATCAAAAGCGGTATCTAATGCCATGGAGTAATTTCACCTCTCTGCTTTGCAGCTTAGCAGTTTGCAACCGTTTCCTACCGTATGTCTAAATGTCTTTACTTTCATTGTCACAGGAAGTCCGTTCTTAACCTGAATGAGCTGGGTCAGATGAATGGCTCAGCAGGTGGAGCAGCTGGAGGAAAAGATGAGGGGCTTCCTGTTCAGCATGAACTGGGAGAGGAACTGAAATTCACTGGGAGGTAAGTGCAGTGTTTTAATCTTTATAGCCATGAGTGCATTTTACAGTGCTAAAGTGATCTGCATGTACATCTGCCCTGATATGATAGAATAGGGAAACACACAGTTGACTTGTTCTGTGTACCAAACTTAACCGTTAGATAATATATCCGAAATTCCTAGTTTTCCACATGTTCTTATTTTAATTGTAAAGACCATCATGTCAGAAGTGGCACCTTTAGTGTTCCACAGATCACTTTGGATGAACCTGGGGCTACTACAACAGCTACAGGATGGTGCACATTAGGACTGAAAATATATACAAATTTTAGCATTATCGTGATAAAAGCCTCTGCAATAGGTATATCCACCCCCCCCCCCCCCGAAAAAAAAAACAACAACATAAACTGCAATAAATGGTTGGCTCAAATGATTCCATTTATGTGTCTTGTCAATCACAAGGAAGCCTGAAGTATTTGACCAAACAAATGGAACCCTTCTCATATTTGGCCAATCAGATCAGAATCAGTTTATTTGTCATTGTACAGAGCACAATGAAATATGTTTCAGTACAACCCATCCTAGAAAGACAAAACTTACATAGGGTGTTACGATTGCTATGAGGAGAACCCAAGAGCAGGCGGACTCTGGAAGTAGGCTACACAAAACAAGATATTTATGTGAAATAAAATTCTCATTGACTCCGATTGTATTTAGACTTTTTCATTGAAAGTAGAAGGGAAGTTTTTTTTTAACTTGTATCATATCTTAGGCGGGTTAAAGTAGCTCAAAGGTTAAACTTACCGGTCCAGGTGTTGTTTTGTAAAAGCCATGTGTGTTTAAATGCTGAGTGCTCTCTCCATAGTGCTCCAGCTCCCTGTTGGATCCTTTATTTTCATTCTTGACAGTTGTCTTACTTTGCTTTTTCTTTGATTGCAGCACGAAGAACATGTCACACATTTAGGTTGTTATATTTTTGTCAAAGGTTGTTTTTTTTTTTTTTTTCCAGAATTTGTGGTGGAATGTGGCTGGACATCAAAAGGAAGATGCCCTTTTATTGCAGTGATATTTATGATGGCTTCCATATCCAGTCTATCTCTGCTGTCCTCTTTATTTACCTGGGCTGCATCACCAACGCCATCACCTTTGGAGGACTGCTGGGAGACGCTACTGACAATTACCAGGTCTTCATATATACATTATAAAAATCAGTCCTGAAACTGCTAATCAGCACTGTATTCCACTAAACGAGTCGCTCACTCACAGGTCTATCTGTCTCATCTCTGTCTTTTAGGGAGTAATGGAGAGTTTCCTTGGCACTGCTTTAGCTGGAACTGTCTTCTGTTTGTTTGGAGGACAACCGCTCATTATTCTCAGTTCAACTGGACCCATTCTCATTTTTGAGAAACTGCTTTACAACTTCAGCCAGTAGGAACCAATTTAAGTAAATTTATTGTAGTTATAATTATAGCAGTAGGTCGTATCCTGTATATTTACATGCTTGAATCATCTAGAATCCTTTTTTCATTCCTAAAAACTGGTACAACTTTGTCACGTTTGAAAGGCACCATTTGAATGGAGCAGTCCTTAAATCATATGTCTCAAACAGAGTGAGGTTTTGTTTTTAAATGGACTGCTCCAAGACAAACTGTAGGGGTGCAACAATACATGTAGCCTTATTGAACCATTCAATAAAATGCTTTAGGTTCAAAACACACTTGTATCGAACAATACAGATTTTTAAAATTTATTTTATCAGCTTGTCTTCTGAAGATGCTCTGTGTTGAAGGATCAGTGGATCTGTGTTCGACTATTTCACCTAGGCTGCATTGTCGAGTGCAGATCCACCAAGAAACTTGCTGTTTCAGCAACATTTAATTTAAAAACTGTACTTTTCAGGTTGAAAAAATGTGCATAATTAATTTAAATAAATTACGTTAAAAAGGACATGGAAATTTCTCTTTTTTTGTATCGAAAAAATATCGAACCGTGAGACTAAAGTATTGAACCGAACCGAATCGTGAATTTTCTGTATCGTTGCACCCCTAGTGTTTAGGTTCATTGTCCAGATAAAATATACAGTTTCCCCCCTTTAACAACATCTCTGAATATTGCTCTCTCTATTTTTCCTTCAACTTTGACCAGTCTCTGTCTCGGAAAAATAAATAAAGATTTCCACTACAGTCTCACAATCCCTTTCAATACCATCCATCTCCATGGCATGGTGCTCCCACCCCCATGCTTCATCGTAAGGATGGCAATGTATTTAAAAGTTTTGTTTCTGTTAAATATGATCACATCACCTTCTTTTAACAAGATTGGGGGACAAATCCCAAATTGAGAAACTGTGAACCCATTTCTGATGATAAGTTGAGGGGTTTTATAGTTACAGTTTAAATTTACATTTTAAATGACAATTTAAAAACAAAAAAAGATAAATGTCAAAGAGCCTCAGTTATCCAAAGGCCTGAGGAAAGTCATAAGGATTAACACAGGGGTGCCCAAACATTTTCCCCGAGGGGGCCAAAATGAAAATCTATCCATTGCTGCGGGCCAAATACAGTTATATAAAACATGAAATACAAATACTTTTTTTAAGTAAAGTCCTTTATTTTTAATGATTAAGCTGTACAATGGCCCTCTTTTGTTTTAAGTCTGTGCACTTGGAGAAAGTCTACCTTCACCACAGCCCTTTACGGTATATAGTCATTTGACCAATGGAAATACTGTGTTTCTACATAGGATAACAGGTTACAACCTTGTTACTTTGGCAACTGTTGGTGGGCCAAATCAAATGGTTTGGCGGGCCAAATTTGGCCCGCGGGCCCCACTTTGGGCTCCTCTGGATTAACAACTGCATGCATTTGATTAGATAGGTCTGAAGGCATTTATGTCAATAACAACAACTATAGCTATTATTATGTCATTTCAGTTTAGTTTTTTTATATAGTGCTAGTCACAACATACATCATCTCAGGGCACTGTACACAAAAAACAATCTAAGTCAACAGATTGTGTTGAGTCACTTCATCAGTCTCCCATCGTCAGCAAGCACAATGTGGAGAGGAAAAATTCCTTGAAGAAACCTAAGACAGAACCAGGCTCAGGAAAGGTGGCTGGGTTTGGTTGGACAGGAAAGAGACACAGAGAAACACAGAAGGACTGGTCCAGGTGTATTTTCCTCTGGATCAGAAAAATCTAAGTTTGTAGGTATAAATCATTCACAGTAGTTGTGTTTTTACCTCCACTTTAACTGTCATCACAGGACCAACGACATCGACTACATGGAGCTGCGTTTGTGGATCGGCCTTCACTCATGCCTGCAGTGTTTTATACTGGTTCTCACAGATGCTAGCTACATTATCAAATACATGACACGTTTCACTGAAGAGGGTTTCTCCAGCCTTATCTCCTTCATTTTTATCTCAGATGCAATCAAGAAGATGGTGGGTGACATTCTGGACTTTGTCTAAACATCTCCAATATTTACAGGCCGACACTTCTTGCACATGAAGCAAACTGTTTTTCTTTCCACAGGTGGAATCCTTTAAATATTACCCAATCAACCGTGGCTTCAAGCCTGATTATGTGACAGCCTACAAGTGTGAATGCATTGCTCCAGACCAGGGTAAGATTAGAACATTTTTGATACATACTTAGCACAACTGTGTTTGCTGCATGACCTGTTTCATTTGTTCCCCCATGTTTGCCTTGTATGTCTTCTTAAATGGGTGTTTCTTAACAGCCCCTCCCCCTTCCCTGAATGTACAGCAACTTGTGAATTTATTTCTGTGAAAGGTGCTATATAAATAAAACTTTACTTACTTACTTAGTTCTTGTCTCTAAATGATGGGTTTTCTGCAAAGTGACTCAGGAGATAAGTCAAACATAAAGACGAAAGCTGTCTCTTATTGCTAAATTGTGTGCATGCGTTCACAAAAACGTATTTCCCATTTTTATTTTTAATCATTTGTTTTTATCACATACTTATGGAAGCCCATTTCCGCCACCCTGATAAAAAAATAAAACTTGTATCTCATAATTATGACTTAGCTATCTCATTATTATGAGATACTATCTCATAATTATGACTTAGCTATCTCATTATTATGAGATAGTATCTCATAATTATGACTTAGCTATCTCATTATTATGAGATACTATCTCATAATTATGAGATAGCTAAGTCATAGTAATGAGATACAAGTTTTATTTATTTTTTATCAGGGTGGCGTAAATGGGCTTCCATACATACTGTATAATTTAATTATCTTCCTACATAAAAACTTACTAAATAACTCCTGTGTGGCTCTCTTCTGAATGACTGCGTTAATGAACAAAAATAATTAAACACTTTAAATCTTGTATTATTAAAGTAATTAAAAGATTTCTTTGTTACTAAAAGAATTGTTGATTGTGGTCTTCACTCTGTGATAATATTTCTTTGTTTCTGGCTTATTTTTGGATGCTATCTGAAAAAGTGAGTATGTGTCCGTAGATTTAAATAAATACTGGTAAACCTAAAAACAACTGCACAACCTTCTCATAACAACACAGTAAATTATAAATAGCCATGACTAAATGAAAATAACTTCTCTTTGTCTTCTCCAGCCTCTGCTCTGGGTTTAAATGTTTCAGCTCCACTCGCAGATGATAACATGACTCTGTTGGTAAGTGGAAACCCACAGAAAGAAAATCCCATTTGTTAAACGAATTGAGGCATTTTCAGCCCAGGTTTGGTTGTTTTGAAATAAAAAATGATATGATTTTTAAATTATTTTTGAAGTTTGCCTTAGATATAGGAAACTTTTAGGAAAAAACACTAGTTTTATTTAAGTGCTTTAAAGAAAAGCTGAAGACGTTACAGCAACACATTGGTTTCCTCAGAAGTTTTGGTCTGTTTTTGGTCGTTTGCTTTCAGAATAATGCAGCACAGCTACTGATAAACCTGAGACAGTGAAACAGTTAGCATGTAGTAAAAGATGCTACTTTAAGCTAACTCACTGTATGTAACAGAGGAAGAGTGTCAAGGAACAATTAAACTTCATAAATCAAACAGAGTTAGAATGAGTCTAAAAGTAAAGCTAATTAACAGGATTGCAGTGAATGTCATCAAACATATTTTTCTTTCTGAAAAATCTACCGTATTTATTCAAATATAATACGTAAAATTAAATCCATAAAATCATTCATGAAGTTGGGGGGTAGTATTATACTTGGATAAATATTTTTAGTTATGTATTTTAACTGAAATATCGGCTTCATTCACAAAATGCCTGAGTCCGGAAATGAGACCACGGTGTAAAAAGCAGTTGAAATGAGCTTACCTCTGACACTCCTCCGTGCTTCAGAGCGAGATAATAACAGATCCAGGCAGGCAACATGATGTGAAAACAAGAGGTAAAAAAGTAGTCCTGCACCTTAGTAATGATAACGAACTAATGACATTAGCATGTGACCGAGCCGTTCCTGGAACAACAACAAACATGCATGTCTGTAATGGCTGCCGTCTACCGGTGTTTTGAAAAAGTTTGTATCCCTGAAAAAAGGCCAATCGGTGGCTACATACTTGCCCTACTCCCTACTCACTCAGTTTGCGTGTTCCCGCGGAGGGTTGGCCATATTAAGTCACATCTCAAACCAGTTAGGTCCGAGAGCAAGTGGCTTATTAAGCCCTCCACAGCGAGTCTACATCCAGTGCAGACTTGATCAGCAGGTGCAGCACCAAATGTTTGACTGTCAGCCTTTCCCACAGTGCTTCTCCGCTGTAGGAGACAGTAAAGGCTGAGTTTTATAGTCGCGCTTTGGACCGCGCGAGTGCGCGCGCATTCGGCTGTGCGGCATCGCGCTATGACTGCAGGAGAAACAAGGTCCAGACTCAGCAAGCTTTTGTGCGTCCTGGAGCAGTAATTCACCTGCACTGACAGTCGCCTCGCTGCATCATGTGCCGCGGCGCACGCTCCTCCCGTAACTGGTAGTGTGGTTGGTCCGACCGGAGGATGCGCTGTCATGTAAACATGTAAACAGTTTGTCGTTCATTTTCACACACCCGAACCAGGTCCGGATAAGTAATGCCCCCCGTCGCCTTCATTTGCACTCTCAGCCACGCTGCTTCCCGCTTCCTCTGTTTTGACTCCAGCTGGTTACATCATCAAAAAGAACTGCGCGGTTGGCCGGTAGACTACAGATCTCTATCATAGGACAAATTTATATTGTTTCTACCGTATATCGTTTATATCGCGCATTCCTAGTATTCACTGATTGGGAAATGGCCATAGTTTCCCCACCAGAGTGGCTCGCGAGTAGGAAGTAATCTGCTTTTCCCCCACAAGATGCCCCAAATCTCATGTGAAGTCTCTGACTTTTGTGTTGGCGCCTCCTGGTGGACTATGTGAAAAATGCCAGAATTCATATGATGCTGCCACAGCTGATATATATTTGTTGTCAAAATACCTTTTAGTACATATGTTGTTAAAAATAAAATGAACAGTCCAATGATCATTTTACTGATATGTATAAAGACTGCAAAGGCTGAAAAATCTTGAAGTCTGTATGAAATTGGAAGTAGTTTGAGGATTAAATTTTTATGCTTTTTAAGCTAAAAGGGGGGGGGTCGTATTATACATGAGATCGTATTATACACGAATAAATACGGTAAGTTAATTTAAAAGTTGTTCTACAAGATGTTGAATCATTTGGTGGACTTAATGTTGTCCCACACCCATTACTGGCGAATATTTTATCTGAGCTTGTAATGAACTTGACGGCCTGGTAAGGACTGGATTATTTTTTTTCTCTTGTTCCTTGTTGGAAAAAAAATCAGAAGTGGCTCCTATAACTGTGAGTTCTGCTATTGGTTCTGTATTGTTTTTTCTTTTGTTATCGCTTGTCTTTTCTCTCTCTTTCTCGCTTCGGTTTCCTACCTCACCCCCACTACCCACACTCTCTGCCTCCCCCACCCCCAATATCTGTTTTGTCCCACTTTGTGCTTCTAGTTTAATTTGACAGACCTGGACTGGAGTCAGCTGAGTAAGAAAGAGTGTGTGAAATATGGTGGTTCTCTGGTGGGGAACGCGTGTAAGTATGTCCCCGACCTGGCCCTCATGTCCTTCATTCTCTTCTTTGGCACCTACTCCATGACTATTTCTCTCAAGAAGTTCAAGTTCAGCCGCTACTTCCCGACAAAGGTAAGTGGTTTTACCTTTGTCATGACTATTAGATGATTTTTCCCAAAGCAAGTGGAGGCCCTTCTACAAAAAAATAATAAAATAAAATAAAACATCCTGCATGTAAAAAGCTCACATTGTGTAATTCAAAGATGTCTGGCAAAACATTTAAGTTGACATCTAAAGAACAAAGCTGGTAGTAAATAACAGAGTGTTGTTTTTGTAGAACAGAAATTTGCACGTATTTGATGCTGTCATGATATTCAGAATGTGAAATTGGCCAACATGCCAGTGCTTTGTCTTGCACTCTTTTACAAACATATTCAGGTTTCCTAAAACCAAAAGAAAAGCATGCTTCCAAAATCTTCAAATATTTAAGTGATTTAAAATATAAAATAATCACCAGCTTTTTACCTTTAAAGTAAGAAAATAAAATTCAGAGTTTTGCTCTTCTTATCCAAACTAGATCCCAGTTATTGTTTTGTTTGTTTGTTTGTTCACACTCCAGCATGATGTCTGCCATGTTTGTTTTCCTGCATCCACTTTAGTCCCGCATCCTAATCAGTGATTTTGCCATCATCATCTCTATCCTGGTCTTCTGTGGTTTCGACTGCCTTCTCCAACTTGACACCCCCAAGCTGCACGTGCCCACCGAGATAAAGGTCCTCTGTTCCCCAAGCAGCTCGTATTTCACAGACCCTCGTTTTTGTCTCACTGCTGATTGAAGCTTTTTCCCTAAATCATCAGTTTTTTGCACATTTACAAACAATCATTTGTTTTTTTTAATTGAATGTAGATTTATCTGTGTATTTTCTCTTTTCTCTTTTTCTTTGTCCTGTTTTTCTTCTTTTACACACCTTTCTCTCTTTCTGTCATACCACATTATCATCTGTGTTTGTGGTCTTTTCGCCTCGCTGTGTGTGTATGTTTATTGTTGAACCTGGAGATGAGGAAGCTAATCAGTGATTTTGCCATCTTCATGTCAATCCTGGCCTTTGTGGGTCTGGATTTATTGATGGGTTTAGACACACCTAAACTAATCGTTCCAACAGAATTCAAGGTATTTGATTTCTCACTAAATTATGCACAAAAATATGTCTTTATTTACCACATAGTGTATGGTATTTTACTGTAAGTGCATGCTTGCAGTGGTGGTAATATTGAAGAATGACCAAAATACTGCAAATGTTAACAGTTTTTTTTACTGTTGTCCAAAAACACGTTTTTTAACTTGTCATAGTTTTACAGTTCTTTACTGCAAAAAAGCAAAACTGAGTTTTAGCTTTATAAAAGTCCTTTTATGTTGTATAGTTAATGTTCAGACAAGCTTGAGTTACTTTTTCTGTGGAAGATGATGGATGTCTTCTTGGTTCAAAAGTCATTCAACCTGGATTGGAAATATCAATAAACAGGTGTTTCTAGGTATTTGCAGAGATGTTCTGCAATGTTCAGGAACAGACTATTCAAATTTGGATGACTTAATATGAACAGGTTTGTGTGTTTATTGGCAACATCAGATTTCCACTATAACAACCTGTGACACTCAGTGAAAGAAAAACTTTTGTTCAGAATCAATCCTCATTCCTCTTTTCTCCTGTCCTGACCACCTCCCATCCCTACTGCAAAATAAATAATAATAATAAAAAAATCCTTACATAATGACATCACCATATTTAATTGTTGGGATACTATTAATGTGATCCCTATCACAGCAAAAACAGGAGTGTTAAAATTTCAGTGTTAAACTTTTGGGTGTTGATTTAACACCACCTAGTGTTATTTTAACACTTTCTGAGTAAACTGACACCCAGTGTTGGTGTTAATTTACAGTGTTGATTTCTTCAGTGTTGTCGCAACACTGGACATTGTTAAATAAGCTCCGCCCACTGTTAAGTCTTATATAACACTTAACAGTGTTGTTATATAACACCATGCAGTGTTAAAAGCAGTATTCTGAAAAGCCCCGCCCTCTTCCACCTCACGTCAGACAGACCAGTATTTACCCAGCATTCCTTGCTAAGAAATCTTACAGAAATGATGTTTTTGCATGTTTATGACCATTAAAGACATCCATGCGAGTAAAAATTAGTTGTTCTGGTTAGTTTTCTTGTTCAGTTTGATCAAGTTGTTCAACTTTAAGTTTACGTTATTGGCCAAAATAACATAAAATTAGAGTGAGAGGTACTTTCTGGTGTGTGAAGGGTGGCTCCATTACTCTCAAAAATACGGAGTATTGACACCTTGTGGTGTCTGTTAACCTTTTAACACCATGATTTCCTTTGTTAATAATAATAAACTGGTGTTACTTTTAATACTKTATTTTAACACTGTTGAAATGTTAATGTCACCCACAGTATTGTTGATTATTAAACACTGGATAGTGTTACTTTTAACACTATATTTTAACACTAACACTATTTTTATGTTGATGTGACACTCAGTATTGTTAAATATTAAACACTGGTTGGTGTTAAATAAAAAAAATTGGTGTTAAAATTTAATACTTTCACAAATGTTATTTTAACACCAGCGAGTGTGGACACATATAGACACTTTGTTGGTGTTGAAATTAACACTGTGGGTGTTAAATTAACACTGATATTTTTGCTGTTTAGTGCTGTTTGAAACTGTCACCCCGATGTTAATCTTGCTTGTCTTTAGAAATGTTTTTTAAGGATAAATCCTTTTGTCATATTTTGCCTGAGCAGCAGTTAGTTGGTGACTTTGAAATATTAGCACATTTCGTACCCATTTCCATAACCTGGCACAGTTTTGTAAAGTTCTCCAAACCTCATCGCTGGGATTCTGTAATCTGTGAGATGAAGACCTCACTGCAGTAACAGTAGTTGTGGTTGGAGTCAAGGATGTGGAGTTTGAGTCGGAGGCTGTGATCTGGTGTTCAAAACCTCTGGGAGAAGGAAGGTGTTTTAAAAACCAAGTACCTGTCCCAGAAAGGTGAGCTCAGGGATCAGAGGCTCCCAAGTGACAGGACCAAAAGTCAAGAATTTGACAATAGTTGCTTGATATCATTAACTTTAGCAAATCTGTAACATATTTTAAGACACTATACCAAAATAAACAATATACCGTATATAAAGTAAAATGTACAATGTGTATTTGTGTGTTCCACCACTGCTAAACTTCCAGCTGTGCTAATATAAACTACATTTATACATCTCTTACTCCTTTGATTTATGTTTTATTACTGTGTGATGCAGCCAACACGTCCTGACCGTGGTTGGATTGTTCTTCCGTTTGGTAAGAACCCCTGGTGGTGGTATCTGGCCAGCTTCGTTCCTGCTCTCCTCGTCACCATCCTCATCTTCATGGATCAGCAGATCAGTGCCGTTATCGTCAATCGCAAGGAAAACAAACTTAAGGTCTGAAAACAACAACAAATAAAAGATGATGAAATAGTTTAGTTGTAGTTCATTTCTAAACGATTGGTTTTATTAACAAACACATTGTAGAGGCAAAAACCTCTTAAAAATGCCATTTTTTCAACAAGTAAAAAGAGCCGAAAAGTTGACAGCAAGCATGAAGGTTTATTAAGGTGGACACAGGTCAGAACGGACAACCCCACGTCTAGTTAGAGTCTCTGAGTGGCATCTTTTGGCAAACTATGTTCTTTCTGGACTGTCCCATGAGTGTATTTTCCCCCAAAACCTATATGCCGATGTTTCATTTTTGAAAAATACATATGTAACGCGCCACGGGAAAACCAGATATAAGTCGCTGCAAACCGAGAAAAAAAAGGAGAAAAAACTAATTTTTGTGTCATGACTGACACACGGAGGCTTGAATGCAGTCTAAACAATTTTAATTCCACTGACTGACATAAAGTTTCTAATGATAGAGTTAACCTATAAGCTATATTAGCTTGTTTTTCATCTGAACTCTTTAAAACGAGTGTCTGTATATGACAGAATCTAAATATGCCACAATTTATTCAAAAGTTTTTCAACACTAAGAGCTGAACTGATTGTTGAGTATGGAGTTAAAAATTTAAACATTTTTACTTCTTGTGGTTGTCTGCACCTGCAGAAAGGCTGTGGTTACCACCTGGACTTGTTCTGGGTGGGTATCCTGATGGCTCTGTGCTCGTTCATGGGTCTGCCCTGGTACGTCGCTGCCACTGTCATTTCCATCGCTCACATCGATTCTCTGAAGATGGAGAGCGAGTGCAGCGCTCCTGGAGAACAGCCACAGTTTCTTGGAGTCAGGTAGAGCCAGACATTTCATTTATTTCTTATTTAATTCCTTTTACTCTCAATCAAGTTAAGGAAAAGGGGGGAAAAACCCATGAGCTGGCATTCAGTTTAAATTAAAAAAGCTCCTCTGGTTCTTTTCTGGGTCAAATCTCAACTATAGTATGTTGTTTGTAGAGAACAGCGACTAACCGGGATTCTGGTGTTTGTTCTGACCGGACTCTCGGTGTTCCTTGCTCCCATCCTTCAGGTTAGTCTGCAGATTTGACACAACCTGTTGTTTTTCTTTTACATTCACCCTTTAACTGCTGTTGTGTTTAACTCAGTACATCCCCATGCCGGTCCTTTATGGAGTGTTCCTCTACATGGGAGTAGCGTCACTGAGCGGCATCCAGGTACAAAAACCAACTTTTAACACTTGTTTCCAATGTAAAGGTAATATTTCTTTTTAAGGTTTAAACAAAATACATTTATAAAGGTTGTGTAACAGTGGACATGTAAAGAAAAGTTAAAGACTAAAAATAAATTCTGAAATATTTAAAGTACTTTAATTTAAAAAGGGATGTCAATGTCAAAGTCAAATTTAATTGCACAGCACATTAACAACAAAAGCTGACCAAAGTGCTTCACAGTTCAGTCAAGACATCAAAAAAACAAACAAATAATAGAAGCAAATACAGAAACAATATATGAAAAAGCTCCAACTGAACCTACAAATTTTAAACATAAGCCAAAGAAAATAAATGGGTCTTCAGCAAAGATTTAAAAGCCTCAACAGTCTCTGCTGACCGAATATTAAGAGGTAAACTGTTCCACAGCTTTGGAGCAGCTATTGCAAAAGCCCGATCACCTTTAGATTTCATTTTGGATCTAGGGACATCTAACAGGAACTGGTTGGTAGACCTGAGTGCTCAGACTGGAGTGTAGATGTTAAGAAGATCACATACAGTAAATATGACGGGGCCAGACCGTTAAAAACTTTAAAAGTCATCAATAAAATCTTAAAATCAATTCTCAGGTGAACCGGTAGCCAATGGAGAGGAGCCAGGACCGGGGTTATGTGTTCATGCTTTTTAGTACCTGATGAATTAGAATTAATAAAAAAACACTCTTCAAACAAACTGTGTCAACATAAAAAAACTGTTTCTCATTTGAAAGTTACAAGAAATAAAACAAACTATTTAAATAAGTCACCAAGAGCATATTTTGTTTCTGCACGGGGACTCTGCTGCTCACCTTCCAACTCCTGGCATCACTGTCAAAAACTTAAAAGTTGAATTTAATTGATTTAGAACCTAAAGTACTTTTGTTAATATTTTTAATTATAACAAGGTACTCAAAACTGACTTAAAATATAAAGAAATGCAGGAATGTGCCACTTACTGACTTAAAATATAAAGAAATGCAGGAATGTGCCACTTACCTGGCAAATATGATCAGAAAGAGAAGAGTGCTAAATATTTAGAAAATAACCCTTGATAATATATATATTTTCTGTCTTTGTGCTCCAGTTCTGGGAGCGGATCAAGTTGTTTCTGATGCCGCCCAAACACCAGCCAGACTTCTCTTTCCTGCGCCACGTCCCCCTTAGACGTGTCCACCTCTTCACTCTTGTCCAGATCACCTGTCTGGCTGTTCTCTGGATCCTCAAGTCCACATTCCTGGCCATCATCTTCCCAGTCATGGTGGGTGGGTTAGTGTGTGTTAGTGTGTGTTAGTGTGTGTCCTGTTCTCTTTGGGTTCTTACAGGTGCTGGTCATAAAATTAGAATATCATGAAAAAGTTGATTTATTTCAGTAATTCTATTCAAAAAGTGAAACTTGTACATTATATTCATTCATTACACACAGACTGATATATTTCAAATGTTTATTTCTTTTAATTTTGATGATTATAACTGAAAACTAATGAAAAACCTAAATTCAGTATCTCAGAAAATTAGAATATTGTGAAAAGGTTCATTGTTGAAGACACCTGGTGCCACACTCTAATCAGCTAATTAACTCAAAACACCTGCAAAGGCCTTTAAACACTCTCTCAGTCTGTAGGCTACACATTCATGGGGAAGACAATGACTGAGAGGAGAGGAGAGGAGAGGAGAGGAGAGGAGAGGAGAGGAGAGAAGAGGCAAGGCGAGGCGAGGCGAGGCGAGGCACAGAATCCACGTTACTTGAGGTCCAGTGTAAAGTTTCCACCATCAAATGCAACTCTAAACTTTCAAAATGTCAGTGATCTGAGTACGATGTGTATCAGGGTCATCAGGTTAGGTGTTAGAAGAGATTTGGAATGATTTTACAGTGTGGAAGCCTTTCAGACTCAGAAGCAGTGCCTTATTTTAAATTTTCCTTTGCCTCTGTCACTTTGTGTAGATTCTGGGTCTGATGTTTGTACGAAAACTACTGGATCTGATGTTTTCTCAACATGACCTGGCATGGCTGGATGACCTCCTGCCTGATAAAGACAAAAAGAAGAAAGAGGATGAGAAGAAGAGGAAGAAAGAGAAGAAAGCCGTTGAGCCAGAGAGCGACGAGGAGGTAAAAAAATGTGCATACATTTCTGTTTGCTAAGCACTTCATAATAAAGTCATAATGTCATTTCCGAAGTCACAATTTTTGGTACCACTTTACAGTAAGGCTCCTCATAGATAGCTTAAAATAGTTTATAATCAGGGTTACACATAAAATGTTTGGTCTGGTTCTCAGGGGAGAACCTAGGGTTGTTGCTTGGTGCTCATATTTTCCTTCATTCATTTAACACATTTATGGTGTCAGAGCATCTAACGTCCCCCTGTTCTGTTTTATGACTCCTATCAGCTGCAACGTCTCAGGACATCATGCCAAATCAGTCCAACAAGTTTTTATTTTATTCTTTTACTCTGCAAAAATTTTGTAAACTACCTAAGTGTCCAAGGGGCTGGGTGTATGTCATATAAACATCACAAACTGAACATTTCATGGTTAAATGTCTTTTAGACTAACATGTCCCTCAGATGGACARCTCCTGTAGTTTGACCTTCTGCATCTTCAGCCTTGGTTAAACCAGCTTTCCACACTCTCCAGACCAAGCAGCAAATATCTGTCTTTCGCACAGAGCAAAATAACTTAAAACATACAAATGTTTTATTTGTTAGACTGATTTCTTTTTTAAAAGACTATTTTATTAAAAAAATATTGTATTATTTAGATGGTTTCAGCTCATGTAATCATTTATTCTTTATATTTGATCATTTAATAAATTACATTTATCCCAGAAAAGCTGTGTCACAGTATGGTCCTAAATATAAACAAGTTTAGCAAATCAAGAACCTTGTTTATTGATAAAATTGTGAATGAAATTTGTGGATCTTTATGATAAATTAAAATAACATTTAAAATCCACCTAGAGAACATGGCAAGTTGTTTTTATTTATTAAAATAATTTTTTGATGGGGTGTTAAACAGAGAGTCATCTTTGCTTTTAATATGGAGCAAACAAATGTTCTGTTAGTTAATGTGGTTTAATTAGAAGAACTCAGTGAATCTCTCAGACAGCCTGCGCGCGCAGCGACGCGCTCATACAGCAGTCTCTCAGGAGGAGAGTTCAGTCACTCACACAGAGTTGGACAGATCTGTTCAGTAACAACATTCTGAACATATATTTAATATAAAGTTAGGTTTTACTGACCAAAGTCTCTGGTAGTTCAGGAGCAAAGTGCAGGAGGAGAGGAGAAGCCAGGATTGATTGCTGCAGCAGCTTGAGTCGAGCCGGGCCGCTGCTTCAACCAAACTTTCTCTCACTGAATGTCCTGCCCTGCTCTGCTCTGATTGGACAAAACGGCACTGGACTTCGTCTGATTAGTTGAAGGCAGTGTCCGTTTAATCCTTATATCAGGGTCCCGCTGTGGCGCACCGAACAACGATCCATTCATACCAGTGCCGCTGGATTCTTTTTTTTTTAAAAAAAAAGAAATCAGGTCGCATTTGCGACCAAACTGTTCGCACTCTAGAGCCCTGCACCATTAGTTTGACAGACAATCAGGTACAATCTTAGGTACGCAAGTGAGCTTTATGACGTTACATCTGGTGTGCTTTTTCCTTTTTAGACCGTGCATGCATACCTGCGCACTGCTTTTGTGCCACTCTGTTTATAGATAGGTTAGCAATTCATCTGTAAACACTTTATAAATCATTAATAATTGTTTATTGTGCATTAAGGACAAGAATAAGACAAAACTGTCTGGTTTCTTGACATTTATATATGTTTATTAGTCATTAATAAACAGTATACCTACTGTCTTACACTTAACAATAAGTGTCCATTTGATAATTGTGGATGCATAATGCTGAAATACAGTGCAACCTAGTCTGAAATGTTTAATAAGCACCTTTTAGATGTATTATATACAAGAACAGATTTGGCTCACTATTTGGCAGGAAACTGGACAGTTTTGTCTCTTTGTCATCCTTAGTTAATGCATGAAAACATATATTGATTTATGAAGTGTTTACAGATGAATTAATAACTTATCTGTAAACTATTTATAAGCCATCTATATGGGGAGCCTTATTGTAAAGCGGTACCCAGTGGTGGGCAGCACTAATCTAAAAATTAGTTCCACAAGCCCTAAAACACTAACTTAAATATTTAGGTCCCCTAATTCTAAAGCACTAATGCACTGAAGGTTTTAACAAAAGCTAATTCTAAAGCACTAAAATAACCCAGTCAACCCATGAACATTCATATAAGACACATGTTGCCATGTTGCTCTCTTAAGACTTATCACTGACATTCCACAGCCGTATTTGGGTTCATATGCTGTCACCTTGTGGATAAATGATACATATGAATTTATAAAATGACTGACAGCTTTCACCTTCAGCTGTTAACAATAACGTTGATCAAAACATTTATAGTCCTCAATTAGTGCTTCTAAATTTAGCATATAAATTTAGCAAGTGCTAATCCACTAACAAATTTTAATATTAGCTAAAGCCCTAAAGCACTAATCAGGAAATTAGTTCCCCTATTAGTGCTTTAGTGCTTTAGGGGAACTGTGCCCACCACTGGTGGTACCCAGTTCTTTTCTTAAGATTTTCTGTGTTTATGTGTGTTATGTGTGTCACTCCATCTGTTGTGTTTGTGTTGTTTGGTTTTCTCTAATACTGGATGTTTCTCCTCTTTGTCCAACAGTGTTGCTGAAAAGGCACTGTATAACACTTACTACAATCTTCTTGTCTGTCTGCCTTTATTATCCATGTTTATCCTCCTCTCCTGAGATTCCTTTGGCTTTTCTGTGGCTTTTTTTTTGTTGTTCCCATTCTGACCTGGGTTCAGTTCTGAGGAGGCTGGTTGTACTCTGTGTTTTTGTTCCATCAATAAAGATCTCGCATCTGACCACAAACACATCAATGTGCTTCAAGTTTCTGCAAACTTCAGTAGTCAAAACACTGAGAGTTGATGTTTTTGGTGCAAAGCAATCACCAATGAAAAGTCATTAAAGTGGAGTTTACCATTTCATTCACAAATTGATATTTATAATAAGTTACAGTATAAAGTTTATTATGTTTTTTTATAGCTGATTAGATTTATTAATCTGTGGGATCAGTAAGTTGTTCAGTAACAATTCACCTTTTTAAAAAGTTTTTTTTCTACCACAGGATGGTGTACATTCATCTGAGTACAGTTATGTTGGTTCATGGCAAAAAAGAAATTTCACATTAAAGCCATAGAAAAAATCAGCCTTCTGTCAATTTTAGGTTTTAAAAATTAGATTCTGCTCTTGACTGCTTTCTAATTGTACCCAAATGAAACCGTTTGTGCAAAAAAATACAGCCGATTCCATCATATTTTTTAAATTAAACACAAAAACAAATTAAAAATACTTTGTATTTTTTAACATCCAACATCTTTTTGTCCAAAGATTCAGCAGCTTGTAGAAACATCGTCAACAGTTAAAAAAAACAGGCACAGTGTCACAGCTGGTAGAACTGTTGCCTCTCTCAGTAAGAAGATTGCTAAATCCCAGTTCAGGACCTTTCTGGTTAGAGTTTGCATGTTCTTTTCATGCATGTTTTCTCCAGGTACTCCGGTTTCCAGACTGTTAGCTTAATTGATAACTCTAAATTGTCCCTAGATGTGAGTAAGAGAGTGAATGGTTGTTTGTCTCGTTTGTCTCTATGTGGCCCTGTGATCGATTTGTGACCTGTCCAGTTGTGTTTTACTGGCCCAGTCAGACTTCAGACCTCAACTGGACTGAAATACCGGACATTAAGAACATTGTAAATAATTATCTCAAACTTCAATGAACTCAAGCAACATTGTAAAGAGGAGTGGGCCAAAATTCCTCCAAAATTGTGAGGGACAGACCTCAAATTTTTGCTGCTTTAACAATCTCTACAAGCTGTTGGCTCATGGAGTGACTTTAGTTTTTTACAGGTTTTCATATCTTTGGTTTTATTTTAGTAAAATGAAAAGAGCGTATATTTTATTTTCCCCATGACAAAAAATAAAAAATAAAAAAGAGTACACTTGGCCTTTTATAAGAAAAACATAATTATCCTGTTTTTATCTGACTATTTTATTTCTTTTTAAATGANAGAATGGACACAAGTCCACTGTCTGAGGCCATGAGAATATCATTAGTAACTTTCACCAGTGCTGTTTCTGTGCTATGATGAGCTCTAAACCCTGATTGAAACTCCTGATATAGATTATTTCTGTCCAGATGTTCATGTAGCTGATTTGCAATGTTTAAGATGAATGGGAGATTAGATATTGGTCTATAATTGGCCAGAGCTCCTGAGCCAAGACCAGGTTTCATAAGTAAAGGTTTAATTACAGCAAACTTAAAGCTCTGTGTATGGGGTGCCGTTTGAAAAGTTACAGTCAAAAATTACCACCAATATTTTTGTTTTATTTAGCCTTTTATAAGAAAAACATAATTATCCTGTTTTTATCTGACTATTTTATTTCTTTTTAAATGATAAGAGCACAATCTTTCTGTTTAAAATCAGTTTGAGTGTAAAATACTGGCTCTTCTGTGTGCATACCTCATGGGCTTTTATTTGATAAGACTGTGATTAATTTCAAATTGATTAAAAGTAAATCTAGTGGCGATCACTTCAGTAGTCATGCTGTAACAGAGCTGTACAGCACTCGGTCTGTATCTGTGGACAGCAGAGGCTGATGTTCAACTATATTAGTCTTTTTTAAAAAAGAGACTGAGACTTTTTACAGTTTTGGCAACAACACATACAGTATACATACTAAGATTATGGTCAGTTGTATTTGACATTAAAGCAGCTTTTCCTGAGAAACAAACATCTCTTCTATCACACTTGTCAAAGACTTATAGACTTCAACTGGTTTTGAACTGTTGATTTAGTTTTCATCATTTGCAAACATTCGTCAGCATGAGGAATGACAGCCATGTTTGCTAACATTCAGCAGCTACACTGAGGTGACCCGATGGTTTTACAGTCGTATAGAAGACGTATTGATCAGGTGTGTTTTCCTGTGTCTAATACTAAAAAAAATTCCATCTCTGCTAAGAAAATACATTTATAATCAGACACAGATTATTGTGATGTTTAATGTTTAGTATTTTCTGTTCATCACAGTCTTGCTCAGTGTCAGCCAAGTAGAAGGATTTTATGCATATTTCATTATTTCACTTTTTTAATATGATGGAAACTGAGGGTCCAGGTAAAAAAAAAACAATATTACCCTAATAACAATATCCCTGTAGGATTCTGCTTTGACCTGCATGCCAACCTTTTCCTGTTTCCCTTAGCCCAACAGCTGTGCTTCCACAGAGGACAAGGTCCACATGGAGGCATTAGAGCTTCAATCGGGATCATACCCCATTTATGTTAACCCCTTCCCTCAAAACCAGACCTCTGAGTGAGTACACCTACCATTCCTCTTCCTCTTAGTGTCAGTTTTAGTTCTGTTTAAATGTTTGATGCTGTTTGTTAATGTGACAGATGGAGTGCTATTAAAGCAATTGGAGCTTGTGGCTAAAATTTCACTTTTGACTTTGAAAATAAAACATTAAAAACTGATTTCATGCTGTTTTAAAAAAAACCTAAAGGAAGCATAAAGTGAAGAGGACTGGCCCAAGCACTGAGCCCTGTGGAACTCTATAGCTAACTCTGGTGCAAGGAGATTTCTTAACATTTATAAACTGGATTTTATCAAATACAACTTAAACCCTTTTAGAGATGCTCCTGTGATCCCAATATCAACTTCAAGCCTCTTCAATAGAATATTATGATCAATTGTATCAAATGCAGCACTGAGATCTAACAGGACAAGAATGGACACAAGTCCACTGTCTGAGGCCATGAGAATATCATTAGTAACTTT